TGTACATACTTGATTATATTACGAAAGACTACGATGTACATACTTGATTACATTACGAAAGACTACAATGTACAAACTTGATTATATTACGAAAGACCACGATGTACATACTTGATTACATTACAAAAGACTACAATGTACAAAGTTGATTACATTACGAAAGACCACAATGTACATACTTGATTACATTACGAAAGACTACGATGTACATACTTAATTATATTACGAAAGACTAAGATGTACATATTTTATTACATTACAAAAGACCACGATGTACATACTTGATTACATTACAAAAGACTACGATGTACATACTTGATTACATTACGAAAGACCACAATGTACATACTTGATTACATTACGAAAGACTACGATGTACATACTTAATTATATTACGAAAGACTAAGATGTACATATTTTATTACATTACAAGAGACCACGATGTACATACTTCATTACATTACAAAAGACCACGATGTACATACTTCATTACATTACAAAAGACTACGATGTACATATTTGATTACACTACAAAAGACTACGATGTACATACTTGATTACATTACGAAAGACTACAATGTACAAACTTGATTATATTACGAAAGACCACGATGTACATACTTGATTACATTACAAAGACTACAATGTACAAAGTTGATTACATTACGAAAGACCACGATGTACATACTTGATTATATCACGAAAGACCACGATGTACATACTTGATTACATTACAAAAGACTACGATGTACATACTTGATTACATTACGAAAGACTACGATGTACAAAGTTGATTACATTACGAAAGACTACGATGTACATACTTGATTATATCACGAAAGACCACGATGTACAAACTTGATTACATTACGAAAGACTACGATGTACAAAGTTGATTACATTACGAAAGACTACGATGTACATACTTGATTACATTACAAAAGACTACGATGTACATACTCGATTACATTACGAAAGACTACGATGTACATACTTGATTACATTACGAAAGACTACAATGTACAAAGGTGATTACATTACGAAAGACTACGATGTACATACTTAATTACATTACGAAAGACTACGATGTACATACTTGATTATATTACGGAAAGACCACGATGTACATACTTGATTACATTACGAAAGACTACAATGTACATACTTGATTACATTACGAAAGACCACGATGTACAAAGTTGATTACATTACGAAAGACCACGATGTACATACTTGATTACATTACAAAAGACTACGATGTACAAAGTTGATTACATTACGAAAGACTACAATGTACAAAGTTGATTACATTACGAAAGACTAAGATGTACATATTTTATTACATTACAAAAGACTACGATGTACATACTTGATTATATTACGAAAGACTACGATGTACATACTTGATTATATTACGAAAGACCACGATGTACATACTTGATTACATTACGAAAGACCACAATGTACATACTTGATTACATTACGAAAGACCACGATGTACATATTTGATTACATTACGAAAGACTACGATGTACATACTTGATGTAAAATCTTTTCATCCCCCTCTGCTAGTCCTTGTATAGTAATGAGAGTGATGAACAACTGGTAGCTGATGTTAACACAATCATCTCCACAGACCATCAGTAGAGACTCAACACTGGTGGCTAGCCAGAACTGGCACAGAGACTGAAAACAGCACAATAAACACCTGAGATGTTTTTTATGTATTTATGTTAAAACTTGTTTCTATGCTACTGACACTAGATCAATTATTAAATAATGCATAAAAACAAAATGAAATAAATAAAAACATAAAATACTTCAAAAATAGGTTGTCTGAGTTGAAACACCTAGGACCTTTCCAAATAAAAGTTAATTAATAAGATCTTAATAACTTAACATTCTATCAAGAACTCACTAGCTGGACAATATATATGTAATAATTATTTTTTAAAAAAAGTGGAGGTTGGGAGTTTTACAGTTGTAGAATTTTAGGGTGGTTTAATTCTACTTTAAGGTTATATCTAAATATTAAGGGTAACTTCCTTCCCACAACTGGCTGCAGAGAGTGAAAGGCAGTAGGAGTCCAAAGAGTGAACTCCTAAACCTTAACTGATTCTCCACAGCCACTTACTAGTTTGACATCTGTATTTGGATCTTGTCTGATAGATGGTATAGCCCCAGTGCTTTGGGAGCTTTAAGCCACATACATTTCCTGCTATGAGTTAACGATGATGACAAGGATTGGTAATAGAAAAATATTTTTTTTGTTTTTTAGTCTCATTGTGAACATTTTTGATTTGTGTATATATACACACACATATGTACATACATACATACACGGGTTAACAGATCATGTTTATGTGTATAATGTAAAGTTAGACCCTTACATTCACTGCGTGTCGAATGTCCGGAGAAGCTAATGCATCAGCCAATTGTGGTAAACATGGACTCATTTCAATCCTTGGGCTCCCACCAATCATAGAAGCTAGCACCAGTAGAGCTCCCGATGATGTGCTCAGTGTTGGCAGGTAGACATGACACCAAGTTTCTGTCTTCACAAAGTACCCTAAAAGCTCAGCACTCTTCTGAACCTAAGAGGAATTTCACATAACCTTTCTTAAGAAGAAACAAAACTGCTGTAATATCTTTACTAATACCACACTGATAGATAATAATATCTTTACTAATACCACACTGATAGATAATAATATCTTTACTAATACCACACTGATGGATAATAATATCTTTACTAATACCACACTGATGGATAATAATATCTTTACTAATACCACACTGATGGATAATAATATCTTTACTAATACCACACTGGTAGATAATAATATCTTTACTAATACCACACTGATGGATAATAATATCTTTACTAATACCACACTGATGGATAATAATATCTTTACTAATACCACACTGATAGATAAAAATATCTTTACTAATACCACACTGATGGATAATAATATCTTTACTAATACCACACTGATGGATAATAATATCTTTACTAATACCACACTGGTAGATAATAATATCTTTACTAATACCACACTGGTAGATAATATCATCTTTACTAATACCACACTGGTAGATAATATCATATTTACTAATACCACATTAATTTTTATTATCCTCATCTTACCTAATCTAACCTTATACATTAATTTTTATTATCCTCATTATCTTACCTAATCTAACCTTATACATTAATTTTTATTATCCTCATTATCTTACCTAATATAACCTTATACATTAATTTTTATTATCCTAATTA